ACTGGAAGCGTTCTGAAAAGCCCAAGGATCGTTACAAAAATTCACGAAGGAAAACTTTACAATCTTGGGACTTTTTTTTGGTTTGTTTTTTAATTTTTTAAAAATTTTTGGCTTGTAAATTTGTAGAATTAAATCTCATTTTTGTTTAATAGTGTGAAGGATTTTGTTTCTTCACCTGGAGCAGACTTGGATGTCAGTGGCATGGGCTTCTAGAGAGGAACCTTTGCAGAAGTATTTTCTCTCTCTCCCCTTTGTGGTCTCTCAAACTGAGGCATGTCAGCTGCACTGGTAGATGGGCTCTTCTATAAAGATGATTGTGTGTGAACATAGTTATTTATTTGGGCAGGAAACCCTAAACACATTTCTGAGGTTTCTTTCCAGTTCTGTGCCTTGGAGAGAGCTAAGTAATGTTATGCTTAATGCTCATTGATGACTGAGTGCACTGATACCTCCATATGGTTTCTAGTGGACTGACTACTTCACTGTTTGACCTCTCATATGTATATATTTACAGTGGTTGTGCAAAGCTAAAATTGCACTATTGTTTTATAAATCAAGAATCTTAAATATGGGGACTTGGAAGTTTATTTCCTATAGGAAGCATTGCTAAAGATTCCCCTTCTCTTAGAAAGGGAAAAACTAGTTGCTGTGAATTCATATTACAATCTACCAGTCCCTCAATAAAAGCTGAGCTTCTATTGGTATTGTCCTGAAAGCTCATGAGTTTTGATTTTCTAACGCATCTCTGAACTGTCTCTTTCTGGGTCTAGGAGGTCAGAAACTACTGTCAAAAGTTGTGAATTCACAGGGTTAGAATTAGGCTCCAGTCCAGTGAAGTGCTTAACTCTAGTGAGGAGGTAGTCCCACTGACTTCGGTACAGTTACTTATGAGCTGAAAGTTTAAGCATGTTTGGTAGCTTGCTGGATCAGGGCCTCTGAAACAGAGAACTTTGTGCACTTGGATTGTCATAACTTTGAAAATAGAGTACAATTTTTCTGGGAGGAAAACAGAAATGTATGGACAGTATAAAACACATTTTCTTATGCCTGGTTTTCTGGTATGGCAAAGAATTGGCAGGGAGGCGGGCTAGAAGGTGGTTTAGCTCTACTGTCCATCAGCGGCTGATACGAGCATGATTTTGACAAGATTCCCCTGTGCTGGAGATTTGCGGAAAATCGGTAATGGATGGAAAAGCAGACTTCCTGCTGCATTCCTCAGACTGCAGAGCAAGAGAACACTTTGCAGTGCCCTGCACTGTGGCTGGGAAAGGATCAAACGTGACTTTTTTAATATTCTGTTTGACTTCACTGTAATGCTTGTGCTGCTTGACCTCTTTACCTTAGTACTTCCGTAGCGTCGTGGGTTTTTCACCCTCAGTGGACACTGCGCAGGAAAAGTTTGATTCCCAGCAAAAGAGGGTTATTTAAAAGTCATGGATTTTTTTTTTTTTTTTTTTTTTTTTTTTTTTTTTTTTTTTTTTTAAAAAAAAAAAAAAAAA